GTTTTCCCCCCCCCCCACTGTTGTCCTATCTATTCCACATTGTAGAGGTCTTAGTTATTGCAGTATGACAAGAAAAATTAAGTCAGGATTGGAAAGCAATTCAGATATCACTAATCATTAACACTTATCTCCCCCCCTTTGTCCCTCTCTGGTCAAATTTAATAATAATAATAATAATAATAATAATAATAATAAAGCTAAATAAAATAATTCTTTAAAAAAGGCAAAATCTATAAACAAATTAGAACTAATAAAAACTTAAGGTAGATATAGGGACCAGTAGATGGTGGAATGGTTATGTTGCTGGACTCGCATGTAGTCAACCACAGTTTGAGTCCCAGACCTGGTAGCTTAAACTCATGCTGGGCATGTGTGCGTGCGTGCCCAAAATCTGGAGAAGAGAATAGAGAAGAGGTTGCAGTGTCGCTAGCCCCTGTGGGCGGTGATTTCTTGCTTTCTGTCTCTCTCTTTTCAGAGAGCACACATGCCCTATAACAAAAATCTCTCTAATAAAAAAAGATACAATCAGCTTATGAAAATCAATTACATTTCTATACACCCACAGCAAACATAATTAAAAGAAAAGTTTCCAAGGAATAAATCTGACAGAGCTATATAACATCTTCGTGGGTTAAAAAATAACCTTTACTAAGATATTAAAGAATACCAAGTAGACATAGAGAAGCATGTATCATAGCCATTGGCAGGAAGACGGTGTTATAAAAATTTGATTCTTCCCAAGTTGATTAATAGATTTAATAAATTCTCATCCAAAATCTCAATAAATTTTGACTTTGGCAGGTGAATCTAAAATCTGTATGGAAATCTGAGAGGCCAGTAACAGCCAAGACACTCCTAAAGAAAAATAGATTTGTCCTAGTAGATGTTAAGGCATATAGCTTATTAAATATCTATATAAATGTATAGGTTATAAAATGTATACATGTATAAAATGTACATCTCCATATGAATGTATAACGTTGGCACAAGGGTAGACAATTACCCACTTGAACAAAGTAGAGTTTAGAAATGGGTTTTGTCTTTGCAAGAGCTGGGACCTTGCTCAAGGGGCATTAAGGACCACTAGGGAAACGACAGACTAGTCATCAAATGGTTGGCAACTGGTATCTGTTTTTAAAAATTCTAAGTAATATTTGCAAAAAAAGCCAAATGTGTAAAAGTGTTACGTATAAATGGAAAAACTTTAAATTTTTAGAAGAAAACATAGTAGGATGCCTTTATAACCTTCAGAAAGGATTTTTAAAATAAGATGCAGACAATAACCATAAAACTAGAAAGACTCAGACATTCAACAGCATCAACCACAATAACTGTTTATCAAAAGACATCATAAATAAAGTGAAAATACTAGTAATAAGCCCAAAGAGATTCCTTGTAACACATCACTCGTAATACAGAATAGAAAGATGATTCACCAAAGAGAAAAGACGTCTCAGAAGAAGCCAAATGGGAAATGAACACGAAAGATGCTCAACTCACTAACAATTGAAGAAATGCAAATAAAGACTGCCACACCCTCTTTTATCCAGTAAATTGATGGAAATTTAAAATTTTGATAATACGAAATACTGCTAAGGGTATGGCGCAAGGAATGGTCACAACTGTACTTTCTTTCCATTAAGAATTATTTAACTTTTTTTTTTTTTTTTTGAGAGTTTTTTTGCTATAGGCATAGGGCACGTGTGCTCACCAGAAAGACAGAGACAGACAGGAAGCGAGAAATCACCCCCCAGGGGGGATGGCCATGCCGCAATCCCTTCTTCTCCATTCTCCTCTTGATCTTGGGCATGCACGCACATGCACCCAGTGTGAGTTTAAGTCACCTGGTCTGGGACTTGAACCGCAGTAGACTATATGGCAGTCCAGCAACATAGCCATTATGCCAACCGCTGGTTTCAACTTTATTTTTTTAATTTGACCAGAGAGGAACAAAGCAAGAACGAGAACGAGAGAGAAAGTGAGAAAGCAAGCCACCAGGTCTGGGACTTGAACTGTGGTCGGCCATGTGGGAATCCAGCGCCCTTAATCACCACGCCACCTGCTAGCCCCCATACCCTATATTTTGTTTGTTTGTGTTTTTTTTTTTTTTTTTTTGAGAGATTTTTGCAATAGGGCATGTGGGGTCTCTAGAGAAACAGAAAGCGAGAAATCACCCCCCCCAGGGGACAGATACTCTGCAATAACTTCTCCTCCATTCTCCTCTCGGGATCTTGGACACGCACTCACATGCGCCTGGCATGAGTTTTAAGCCACCGGGTCGGGAGCTCAAACCCTGGTTGACTATGTGGGAGTCCAGCGATATAACTGTTCCACCATCTGCTGGGTCCCCAATCATATATACCCTATCAATAGGAGTATAAATTGGTACAGCCATTTTGGAAAATGATTATTTAACATCCTGTAAAGTTGAGACGTGCACACCCATACCCAGGCTCCACTTCTAGGTCATGAGTACCTGAACACCCCACTTTACCTCCCCCACTTTTGTCCCCCATCGCCAAGTAATCACCTACTTTCTGATTCTGTGGATTTAACTATTTTTAGACAATTTAAAAAAATGAATTATTTATTCATTTAATTTGACCAGAGAGAGACAGAGAGCGAGGCGGCAGTGCTGAGGAGGGGGCGGGGAGGGGGGGGGGGGAGGAATGCAAGAAAGCAAATCATCATCAGGTCTGGGACTTGAACCGTGATTGGTCACGTGGGAGTGTCCATCACCTTTACCACTGCGCCACCTGCTGGCCCGACTTTAGACAGTTTTATAAATGGAATTATACCATGTGGCCTTGTGTGCCTGGCTAATGTTTCCAAGTTCTGTCCACTTTGTAGTACGGCAATACTTCATTCCTTTTGGTTGCTCAATAGCATTTCCCTGGATGGATACGTTATTTATTCATTTGTCCGTAGAAAGGCGTTTGGGTCGTTTCTACTTTTCTGTTACTATGAACATTTGTTTGCAAGACTTGATGTCAACAATGTCTCTCTTGGATATATATCCAGGAGTAGAACTGTTAGGTCCTATGGTAACTTCATATTTAACTGCTAAAGTATCTTCCAGAAAAATAGCTATGTCATTTTTCATTCCACCGGCAGCGAACGAGGGCTCCAGCTTCTCCACATCCTTGCCAGCACTTGTTATGAATCACTTGGGCCATACCCATTAGTAGGAGTGAAGTGGTGCCTCACTTCTTTTTAATTTGCATTTCCCTCATGACTAATGAATATCTTTTATATGCTTATTGGCCATCTGTACCTTTCAGGGGAAATGTCTCTTTCAATCCCTAGCCCATTTTTCACCTGGATTGTGTCTTGCTGAATTGTAGGAGTTCTTTTTACAGTTCATTCTCGGGGCCGCAGGTGGTGTGGTGGTTAAGGGTGCTGGACTCCCATGTGCCTGACTGTAGTTCGAGTCCTGGACCTGGCTTGCTTTCTCACTTTCCCTCCCTCTCACTCTGTTCCTCTCTGGTCAAATTAAAACAAAGTTAAATAAAATAATTATATAAAAAAAAACACAGTAATTCCCAACATGTGATGGCGTTATATCTTGATAAACCCATCCTGTGTGAAAATACCATTAACTTAGGTATAGTAAATACATTTTCAACTTACTGAACGCCATAGCTTAGCCCAGGCGTGGTGGGGGGGGGGGGGGAGGAATGCAAGAAAGCAAATCATCATCAGGTCTGGGACTTGAACCGTGATTGGTCACGTGGGAGTGTCCATCACCTTTACCACTGCGCCACCTGCTGGCCCGACTTTAGACAGTTTTATAAATGGAATTATACCATGTGGCCTTGTGTGCCTGGCTAATGTTTCCAAGTTCTGTCCACTTTGTAGTACGGCAATACTTCATTCCTTTTGGTTGCTCAATAGCATTTCCCTGGATGGATACGTTATTTATTCATTTGTCCGTAGAAAGGCGTTTGGGTCGTTTCTACTTTTCTGTTACTATGAACATTTGTTTGCAAGACTTGATGTCAACAATGTCTCTCTTGGATATATATCCAGGAGTAGAACTGTTAGGTCCTATGGTAACTTCATATTTAACTGCTAAAGTATCTTCCAGAAAAATAGCTATGTCATTTTTCATTCCACCGGCAGCGAACGAGGGCTCCAGCTTCTCCACATCCTTGCCAGCACTTGTTATGAATCACTTGGGCCATACCCATTAGTAGGAGTGAAGTGGTGCCTCACTTCTTTTTAATTTGCATTTCCCTCATGACTAATGAATATCTTTTATATGCTTATTGGCCATCTGTACCTTTCAGGGGAAATGTCTCTTTCAATCCCTAGCCCATTTTTCACCTGGATTGTGTCTTGCTGAATTGTAGGAGTTCTTTTTACAGTTCATTCTCGGGGCCGCAGGTGGTGTGGTGGTTAAGGGTGCTGGACTCCCATGTGCCTGACTGTAGTTCGAGTCCTGGACCTGGCTTGCTTTCTCACTTTCCCTCCCTCTCACTCTGTTCCTCTCTGGTCAAATTAAAACAAAGTTAAATAAAATAATTATATAAAAAAAAACACAGTAATTCCCAACATGTGATGGCGTTATATCTTGATAAACCCATCCTGTGTGAAAATACCATTAACTTAGGTATAGTAAATACATTTTCAACTTACTGAACGCCATAGCTTAGCCCAGGCTACCTGAGACATGCTCAGGACACTTACATTAGCTTACGGTAGGAAAGTCATCTAACAAAACCTACTTTATAGAAAGGCTATTATAAACAATTCTTGATTGATTCAAAATTCAAAGTTAATTTCTACTAAATATGTGTCATTTTCATACCATCATAAAGGTAAACAAAAATTCTCAATTGAACCACTGTAAGTCGGGAACTGCCTATATATTCCAGTTATGTCCCTTACCAGGTATAGCATTTGGAAAAATTTCCCGACATTTTTTCTTTTGTCACTTTGTGCTGATGTCTAAGAAAGCTTTGCTTAACCCAAGGTCATGAGTATTTACTCCTATATTTTCTTCTAAGATCTTTGTAGTTCTAGATGTTATACTTGGATGTATGATCCATTTGGGGTTAACTCTTGTGTATGGTATAGGGATTAAGAGTGGGGGTCCATCTTCATTCTTTATGTACTGGGTTGTCGGAAAAGTCCTGACACATCTTTGCATAGAAAAACTTTTCATAACTTTTCTGAGAACCCACTAGCTACTCAGTTGTTCCAGCATCGCTTGTTAAAGACTATTCTTCCCTCTATGTACGAATCTTTTACTATAAGAAAGACATTTCTCTAGCAAAACCCCTAAAGAATAGCAGACGGTCAGTGAGAGCTCTGTGGGTAATTCTTTGGAGGTGTGACTGTGTGAGGAACAGCACTGGGAGGTGGCTGGAAGGGGCTGTGGTCAAGGGAAGGTCTGTGTGGAATGGCGGACGTGGGAGGAGTGTGTTTGGACCCTGAAGCAACGCCTCCCTGGGGGAGGAAGGGCAGGCACAGCAGGGAGAAGGAACATCCAGGCTGTTTGGAGGGGCTGCCTGGGCAGGAGCTGAGGGACTTCCCCTCACAGGAAGGAAGAGGACAGGAATAGAGCTGAGTGTGCAGATATTTGTTTGTTTGTTTCCTTTAAAAAGGTTTTTGCCTTAGGAGATGTGAACTGTGGGGGGCAAGGGAGGAGAGTGAGAAATCACCCTCCAGGGGGATGGCCAAGCCACAATCCCTTCTCTTCCTTTCTCCTCCTGGGATCTTGGACGTGTGTGCACACGCACATGCACCTGGCGTGATTTTTCAAGCCACTGGGCCCAGCCCTGGAACCGCAGTCGGTCATGTGCGAGTCCAGCCTCCCTGACCGCTGTGCCACCCGCTGGCCTGAGCAGGAGGATCTTGGTGTGAGGACAGGGTCTGGATCCCATAAGGAATGCGTGGGGGCTGCCGGCTGAGAGGTGGTGTGAACGCAAGGGAATGAGGGAGGAGGTGTGAAGCTACCCGTACAGCAGAGAAGACCTGGTGGAGGAGGCACGTGGCAGCAATGGCGAGCGGAGGCTGCCGGGCTTGGATGCTCAGATCTCCAGGGCTGCTTTTTGTCGTGGGTGTGACCGGAAGGAAGGTGACCGAGGTTGTGTTCTAGGCAGTGATCAGTGATGGCAATGAGGGCCGAGGAGCCCCAGCCTGGTCAGGAGCGTGACCTGGAGGTGAGGAAGCTGAGGAGCAAGGGCTGAGAGGGGTGTAAGTCATGACTTCAGAGAGTGAGCCATAAGTGGAGGAGGCTGCGGGACGGAGCAGGTCCGCGGTGTGGGCTGTGGGGGCAACAGGACCCGGTGGGGACACGTGTTGTTGGTTGAAGCATGATGGTGCGAATTTGATCAGTGTCAGCTGAGGGAGGCACAAGCTTGTCAGGAAGCGTTAGGGGTGTGTGCAAGAGTGGCAGCACTCAGGGCTGGGCCGGGGCGACCACATAACTTGGCCGGCAGTGGAGTCTTTACAAAGTGGGGGGTGGCAGTCATGGTCTTGGCATGGCAGCAAAGGACAAGGAGGACACGACGCCCATCCTGGTGCAGCGCAGGGGCCCGAGTGCCCCTGGTTGTGTCCTCCTGACGCCCTGGGCTTGGGACGCGGCTGCATGTGTAGGAACAGTGCTCGTGAGGTTCCAGATGTGAGGTCAGAGGGCGTAGGGAAGGTGTGGGCTGCAGTGCTGGGTCAGGTGCGTCACAGCTGGAGTGGGGGGGGGTCATGGAGGGCCCAAGCACCTCTATCTCCTTGTGGTGACCTTAGGGGCCATGCAGGGAGGCAGGGGGACGGCTTGGTGATCCTGGTCGCTGGCGGGAGCATGGTATTTTGGCCTGGAAGGCATCGGGCAGTGGCCTAGCAGGGGCACTATGGCTAGCCTCGATACCCCCATGAACAAAGCTGGAGTCACATGTTGCCTTCTGTGACCCGTGTTTCCTGCTCCAGGGCTCCAGGTCCCCAGCAGGGGCAGGAGCCCCACTCCAGCCCCCAGACCATACCTGCAGCGGCTTCTACAAGGACTGTCGGAGGAGTCCAGGAGTCCCGGCCCCAATGGCTCCAGCCATGTTCCTGCAGGGCCTGGAGAGAGCCCACGTGGGTGGGAGCCCTCGGCCAAGCCACCTCAGGTCCTTGCTGTCTCCCCGAGGTCAAGGCCTGGAGCAGGTGTGCCTGCTGGTGTCCTGGAGCAGTCCCGGCTGGCCCAGCTGTCCTCCGCATCCCCAGCTCCATCTGCAGAAATGGGAGACCAGCCGGCACCCGTCCAGGCCGCTTCAGGGAGCCCAGCTCTGCAAGGAGGCTGTGTCCCTGGAAGTTATCTTAGGGAGATGCCCAGAGAGTGACAGAGTGACTTCTGGCCAGAGGAGCTGAGTTGCCCACCCACTGGCCCCTTTGGACAGGGCCCCTCTCTTCCAACCCCAACCTGGCCACACTCCAAGGCCCAGGTCTCTTCCTCTCCCTTCCCCGTCATGTTCCCCTGAGGGCTCCTAGGGACAGAGGCCCTCCAGGTCTGTCATGCCTGATTCTGCCTGCTCTTGACTTGCCTCAGCTCTGAAGGATGCTGGAAAGGGGAGGTGACATTCTCCAGGGACAGAGCCCAGCCCTGACGGCCCTTCAAAGTCTTCCTGTGGCTGAGACCTCCCCTCAGTATGGACCAATGGTGCTGCCTCTCCCTCAGGGCAGGCCTCGGGGGAGTCCTGTCCTGGGACCCTGGGAACAACCTCCTGTCCCTGGTGTCCTGACGACTGCTCTGCAGCTGTGGCCTCCAGTCCTGCTCTCAGGCTTTGAGAGCCCTGCTTGTTCCCCTGCAGGGCAGGAAGGCTCAGGGCCGGAGGTGACACCAGTCAGCACGGGGTGGGGGTGCCTCCCAGGCTGCACAGCAGGCCTTTGGCAGAGGACTCAAGCTCACCCCGCCCCATCACTGTCTCGAGAGCCTTGTCCCCATAGACACTCAGCCAGAGGAGGCTCTAGAAGGGGAAAGGGCACCCTGCTAGGCACCCTCCACCAAGCCCCACCTCCTCGCCCCAGCTCCTGGCCTTCCTTACCAGGTTCCAGGAAAGAAGACAGTCACTGGGAGGAGCCTCCATCCCCATGCCCCGCTCTGTGGCCTGCTGGAGGTCTAGGAGGCCTGCCTGGTGGGAGGGCAGCGGGAGCACCAGGTGTGGAGCAGCAGGTGTCTGCGGGCCGCAGGAATAGCAGGAATAAAGCCGGGTGAGGTGCTTGCTGCAGTGCTGAGTCAGGCCGGTGGTTTCACACAGACAGCGCCTTAGACGTCCCTGTCCTGAGGGGCCATGGGGGTTATCCCACTTTCTAGAGGAAACAGACTTTGGGGAGCAGCGCAGGGCTGAGGACTGGAGCTCTGAGGTTCCAGGGGCAGCGTGGCCCTTGCCATCTCCCGCGGTGGCCGCTTGCTGTGGCCACGTCAGGGGTATGAGGACAGGTTCTTGGGACTCCGAAGCCTCTCCTAGGTGCATCCTGAGTTTCAGTCTTGAAACAGGGGTTTTCTGAGAATGGGGGCCTGGTCTAGAGCATTAGCTGAGAAGGATCGTGGGGAAACAGTCCTTGCCCCTGGACACGTGGGAGGTGAGACCTGAGTGGGCCTAGGGCAGGGCCTCTAGGTCAGTGACTGTCCCACCAGGGGATGCCCAGGAGCGAGCAGGTGCCTGGAGAGCCCTGGTTATCAGAAGTTGGTCGTGAGGCAGTCACACCGATGGCTCTCCGAGTGGCGGGGCCAGGCCCTGGCACAGGGCTGGGCTCTCAGAGGCTGCCCATCACAAGCCTCCATCAGGACTTGGCTCCTGGTGTCCAAATCTGGGCCCTCCGGGAGATGCGGCTGGCTGAGCCTGGTGGCTCAAGGGGAAGATGGGTCCCTTCTCTCTGGGGTGGTCAGGGACAAAGATGTCACCGTCATGCCCTCCCCTGGAAGCCATCTATCGCTGTGTCACTCCGGAGCCAGGTCTATCTCACAAGCCCTGCCCTGTGCAGTGCACCATGGTCCTGCCCCAGTTCGATCTCGAGCCCCAGCCTGGGTGGAGTGATAGGCATAGAGGCCTGGGGTGTTAACCAGAGGTGGCGGGGTGAGCCACCCCCTAGTCCCCACCCACAAGGTGTGTGGGCTCATTCACCCGACACCTGCAGTGGTGCCTCTCAGGAGCTAGGTGGTCGTGTCACAGGCATGGGGAACAACATGGCGGATAAGGCAGGGTTCTGTTCTCATGAAACTTGGTGGGACGAGGGAGGGACAGGAGATGGCAACTGAGCGGTATTGACGAGCGATGGGGGGTGCATTCATAGAGGCTGTTAGGAAGGGCACCTCTGAGCATGTGGCATTTCTGCTGAGACCGAGTGACCTGAGGAGGCTGCCTGTGAAAACGTCGGGCGTGAGCAGCCAGTGCAAAGGCCCCGAGGCAGGGGAGCAAGGGGCATCGGGCCATTGTAAGTGGAGGGGACGAGCAAGGGGCAGGGCGGGAGGCAGGGCAGGGCAGACACGGACGAGGAGGGTTTTACTGTAAGAACACGGGGCAGCTGCTAGAAACGGAAGTGTTCTAAGGAAGCAGCAGGATCTGATATAAGGCTTAGAAAGTCACTCCAGGGGGCTGGCGGGTGGCGTGGTTGAGGTTCTGGACTTCCACGTGGCTGGCTGTGGTTTGAGTCCCAGACCTGGTGGCTTACTTTCTCACTTGCCTTCTCTCTCTGGTTAAATTTTTTTAAAAGTGCTAATGAATAAAATTAAGTAAAATTTTTCAGTCATTCCAGGGGCCAGCAGGTAGCATGGCGGTTAAGGCACTGGACTCCCACATGGCCAACCAGGGCTAATAAGTTCTGGCGACTTGCTTTCTCACTGGTCAAATTGAACTTACTAGGAACGCTGGGAGATTATGGTGGGGAATTGAAAGCACAGCCAGTCGATGCAGTGAGGGTGTTGCTCCGGAAAAAGCAGCTGCTCGGGCAAGGGCAGGGAGTGGGTGGATGATTTAAGTTTGACCAGGGCTGGGGTTTTGTCAGACGAACTGTGACCGACTTATATTTACCAAGGCATGACTACGGGGTCTGGAAAGTGGGGGAGGCTGGGTTATCCCCTGGCCTGGGGATAAGGATCCCAGGGACCTGAAAGGCCTGGGCTTCTGGGGGAAGCCAGCATGTGCAGTCCAGTGGGGATCAGTCTGGGGGACCCTTGGAGGAAGGAGGGCAATGCTGTGAGCTGCTGAGTCCCGACCCCAGGACAGCCAGGGCCACCCCCTCACCTCTCAGGCCTGGAGAAGAAGCGGCACCAGGCTTTAACTGAGATGGCTCACCTCTCACTAGCCTCTCACAGCCAGGGGAGGGGTGACTGTCTTGCCCTTCCCTGGAAAAGATACTACTGCTGACCTGCCAGGTCAACTTTCTCCCGTGGTCTTGCTTTCCAAGCAAATCCCCCTGGGGCACCTTCACTTGGGCACTCCCTGTCTGAAAATGCACCTGCTGCTGCTGTTCCTCACCATCTGACAACCTGGGGCCAGGTACTGGGGCTGGAGGGAGGTGACACAGCAAGCCATCAGACGCCGTCTTAGCCTGGGGTGCTGAGTGTGAAGGTGGGCTGTGTGCATGGCCCCAAGAAAACCTGAGAACAGGCACCTTCCTCGGCCAGAGCCGGTGGTGACAGGTGAGTGGACCTCGAGGAGTCCGTAGGGGCCAGCCAAGCAGAAGAAAGGGCGAGGGGGCATCTCTGGTAGGGTAAACAGCCCCCGGACAACAGCCTCTTGGGCAGGAGGAAGGCTGGGGTCAGGCGCCATGCCCTGCTGCCCACTCCCACTGCTGCCTGTAGTGCTGCAGGGGGCTCCTGCTCCCTGCTCCTGTTGGTCTGGGACTGACCTTTGCTGGTCTTGGGAGAATGGGGTGACATAGGGGCAGGTCCAGTTTGGGAAGAGCTGCAGGAAGTCCTGCTGCAGCTGGGTGGGCCCTGACTCCTGCAGCTGGCAGCCTGGGGGCTGGGCAGAGACAGAAAGCCCTAGGGGTGTGTTGGGGAGGGGGAAGAGGGGCAGGCATGAGTTATGTAACAGCCCCCACTGCCCGGGAGAGCTGGGGGCACCCACTCTGTGCTCATTTGGAGGTGGGGCTGGGAGGTGGCAGATGGCCACATAGAACCTGGGGCAGCAGCTGAGCCGCGTGGGTGCCGGGATAGCTCCTGCCACTCGTCTGCCAGGTCTGCCAGCCCCTGGACGGTCCCTGGCTGCCCCAAGCTGGGCTGGTGCCTGACTGGCCAACAGAGGGTGCCCAGCAGGGTCTGACCCTCAGGAGACCTAGTGCTGCCCCTGCAGGAATGGCCCTGGTGAGGGGTCACAGTGGGGACTTGTTGGGTAAGGTGGGCATAGGGGCAACCCTGGTCTCTGTTTCTGCAGCGTCCTGGAAGCCTGGCCCTTTAAGGAAAACGGGTCAGAAGGCAAAGACCCATGCTGGTTGTAGTGTCTTGGGAGATGCTTCCTGGGCCCAAGCTGTGTGGGCGGCGGTGGAAAGGTGTCCCCTCTCCATGCCCACTTGGAACTCCAGGGTGCCCGGATTCTGCAGGCCCTGGAGATGGCCCAAGTGGCTGCTTTCCCTCCTCAGTGAAGGGGTTACTGGGGCCTCTCCATCCCTGGTGACCGTGGGTCGAGGCCTTGCCCAGCCCAGTGAGGGGCAAGACTGTATCCGTAAAACCTGAGGCCCAGAGGGGCAGAGGAGGCCGGCTGCTCTGTCCAAACCTACCCTAGGCAGCCTCCACCATCGGGCAGTGGGCATCCACTCCAGCTGGGTAGTCTGGCGGGGTGCAGGGACAGCCCCAGCTGAAGGAGGAAGCTCCACCCCCAGCACGCCCAGTGGCTGGTGGGGACGGGCTCCGGTAAGTCCCATCTGAGCTGGGTGGGGTGAGACATTGTGGGCATTGAGAAATCACGGCCTGCCGCCATGACGGTGGGCAGGTGGGCACAATGGCTCAAGGCAGGGCCTTTGGGGGAGCTGCGTTCAGCCGTGGGATGACATCTGTGCAGAGCTGTGGGCTGTATAGGCGGGGCTGGGCTCTGGGCTGGCATGAGGGGCTCCCAACGCTGTGGGAAAAGTGCCCGTCAGGCCGCCCAGGGTGGCACTGGCTTTAGCGGCTGAAGGGAATGGGCACGGTGTGGTAACTGAGGGAAAGCAAAGGCTCAGCAGCTTTTGAAGGGGGTTAGGAGGCCTCATCTGAAAATTTTTCTTCCTTCAGCTCCTCTTTCCACTGCCACTCCGAGAGTGGCTACGGGGAGCCTGTGGGGAAGAGGGCGAACCTCCGCCCGCGGGGTCCCTACAGAGGCAAACGGAAGCTCCTCTCTTAATGCTGCCCCTAAGACTTGCTTTCCCTTTGCCTGTGCCAAAAAGACCCCACCCGTGACCCCCGAAGGTCTCCCAGCTCTGCGCCAGGAGAATTTCCTCTTCCATTGGTCCAGCGGCTGGAGGTCGCCACGCCCCCTGCTCCTCACCTACCCGGTTTTGCCTTGAGTCTCAGTTGCGGCTGTGATTTGCGTCCAAGCCCGTTTCCTCCTTACCGCCTTTGCCCTTAGTGGAGCATCCTGAGGCAGCTGCAGGAGAAGCAGGAAAGCTGACGCCATTACTCCCAGGTTCTGAGCGCGCGCTTCCCACCGGGGTCGGGCCGCTTTCCTTTTGCGCGTCCCCAGGACGCAGAGGACGCGGGTCTCCAGTGAGCAGCAGAGTATCTCGGCTCGCGGGCGGCAGCAGGGGGCG